GATTGCAAAAAAAATTCAAAAGAAAAAATTTCACTCACAAGTAACTCATTTTTAAATGTGCCAAGCACAGGGGCTCATTCTTGTGATCCCAGCATTTCAGGAGGCTGAGGCAATAGGATGACAATTTTGAGCCCAGACTTGGCAACTCAGAGACATGGCAAGAACCTGCCACACACATACCCTCAAAAAAAATGTTTTTTAAGGCCTGGGGATATAGCTCAGTGTTAAAGTCCTGGGTTCAATCCACAGTACTATAAATGAATAATAAATATTTTTATTGAGAGTAAAAGAAGGGAAAAGAATGAAAAAATAGAATATCAGTCTTAATATCAGTCCATAGTTACTTGAGGGTAAATATATCCAGGCAGTCTTGAGTCACATCTATACCATTGCCTAATACGCTAGTAAACTCTAAAATAGAAAGAATGCAAATGAAACTTCTCCAATCATAAAGCAATAAAACTAGAAATTAAGTTAAAAAACTAGATAATCAAAAAAATGCCTTACAGGATATATGACATGTGGACTTAAAACACTGTAAATAACTTTTTTCTTTTGTGTGTGTGTGTGTGTGTGTGTGTGTGTGTGTGTGTATTTTATGGAAGGGTCTACCGAGTGTTCAGGTCTCACTACTAGATCAGACTCATAGTGATCCACCTGTTTACAGCCTCCTAAGAGCTGGGATTATAGGTGTGCGCCACCACGCCAGTCTCAATTGCCGTGTCTGCGTGCACCGGGGGTGGAGCCAGCACAGCAGGCCTGGTGATTGAACCCCTGGCCCCTGCGCCTGCTTGCAGGTGCTTTAATCCACTGAGCTCTTTGGCCATCCCTTGTCAATAACTCTTGATTCAAAGAGAAAAATAAAAGTTACTGAATATCTAGAATCAAATAATAATCAAAATATCAAAATCTATGTGATACTGCTAAATGGAATACTTAGAGAAAATTTCAAAAATGTAATATTTGCATAAATCAAAGTTTTTTAATGTAATTGTCATTAAACTTATCATTTTAAGTAAATGAAAAGTAATTTAATGAAACCAAAGGAATAAATTAGCAAAATCAGAGGGTAATTAAATAAAAAACAGAAAATACTATAGAAACTAAGTTTGAAATATCCAAAGGGTTGGCCATATAGCTCAGCAGATTAAAGTACCTGCTTAGGCAGGCACAAGGACCAGGGTTGCAAGCCATGTCAGCCCCCTCCACCTGGGGCACACTGAGATGGCAACTGAGACTGGGTGTGGTGGTGCACACTGCAATCCCAGTGCTTGGGAGGCTGAAAACAGGAGGCTCACTACAAGTCCTATCTGTGTAGTGAGACCATGGAAACCCTGTACTAAATACATAAAAGAAAAAAGAAATATCCAAAAACTACTTATTTGAGGGAAAGTAGAGAGAGAAAAAGAATGGACATAAAAGAAAACAGAATTAAAAATCAGAAAGAAACCAAAATATTGCCAAGAAAATTAGCCCCAGTAGAGATAAACCACACTAACATACTTACATTACTATAGGAGAAATCAACAATAGCAAGAGCTAATTCATTTTTTAAAAAAGCACCAAACCCAGGAATTTGAGACGAGTGAATTCTACTCCCCCTTATAACAACCCAATTCCATGCAAGCTGTCCCAAAGCAGACAAAAAAGAAAATTTGCAAATACTTAGCAAAGCCAGTTTTTATTTAAAACCTCAAAAGGGTGTCCAGCAAAAGAGAAAATACAGACAAATCTCTCTTACTTGTAAGCATCGAGGCACATGTTTAAATGAAATATTAACAAAATCTAGCAGCAAGTGGATCTATACCACAAGAGAAAGAATGAAAAATAGTTTAAAGTTAGAAAACATATGAATTCAGGGCTGGCCAGATAGCTCAGTGGACTAAAGCGCCTGCATAGACAGAGCACAGCGGCTGGGGTCCATCCCCTGTGGGCAGTGCCAGCCCCACCCCCAGGTCATGCTGAGACAGTGACTGAGAATGGGGGGGGTGGTGCAAGCCTGTAATCCCAGTGCTGGGGAGGCTGAAAACAGGATCACTACAAGTCCAATATGTGTAGTGAGACACCCTAGGCCCTGTCCTAAATACATTTTAAAAAAAAAAGAAAACATATATATATGGTCAAATTTTTTTAATTTATTCGGTTGTTGCAGGTTCTCACTATGAAGCTTGGACTTATGATGATCCTCCTCTCTTCAGCCTCCCCAACACTGAGATTAGAAGCATAAGCCCTGCAGGCAGGGCTGGCACAGCATGTGGTGCTGGGGATGGAACCAAGGTCCCTGTGCTTGCCTAAGTTTGCCTGAGCAGATGCTTTAGTCAGCTGAGCTATCTTACCAGCCAGATGATGGGGTTTTTTTGTGTGTGTGGAACCAGGCATTGAACTCAGACCCTTGTGCTTGCCAAGGAAGCACTTATTCTACTAAGCCATCTCCCCAGCTCCATCAATTTTTAAAAGCATGTTTATAACCCAAAACTGCTGCAAAGAAACTTGACAAGTCAACATTGCTTTTATTTTTTTTTTTAGGTACAAACCTCTGTTGTTTTTTTTAAAGTCAACAGAAAATAGAAATATACTTTTTAAAGTTTCTAGAAGATATCAATACAATGTCTTTTGAATAAATTGTAAGTCAAAGATACAGTATAAATCTTAGAACAAAAATTAAGATTAAGCAATATTCAGAAAATTAAATGTTTCAAAACAATTGAACTAAGAAAAAGTTTTCATGATAGCAAAGAAGTACTAAGAGTAAAACATAAGATAAATGCTGGAATGGCAAGTAAATGGCCAGCACTTCTAACAGTTTGAGGATAGGATATCGCAAAAGTTAAAACTTTGTTACAACAACTACCAGAAATCTGAACCCAGGGCCTTAGGCATGCTGGGCAAGCATTCCACCGCTGAGCCACACCCCCAGCCATATATATATAATGAAAGCATCATGGTTTTGCTTTGGTTTTGGGTTTTTTCTGGGAAAGAGTTTGAGACAGGACCTTAAACTCATGGCACTCTTCCTGCCTCAGTCTCCCAAGTGCTGGGGTTACAGGCATGCACCACCATGCCCAGATCTGATCCAGTTTCAAAGTCACACACACACACACACACACACACACACACACACACACACACACGAGACACTTCACTGAATGAGCATATCCCCAAGGGCCAGATTTGAACAAACAAATTGACTCACTCAACAAAACCAGACTGGAGTACTCAGAAAGTATAAAGATCTGTGCTCAATAAATTGGGATTCGAAAATAAACAAACTACACCTCTTGCCCCCAGAATGGTAACTGACCAGTATGACCAGTAGACCTCCGTAAGGTAATTACAACAGACTGCCATGAATGCTAGACACTTACAGGCCACCAGGCCAGGGACCAGGCAACTTTATTCAACATTATATCCCTAAAACCTGCAAATGGCACGTACTCACTAAGTAGCAAGGGAAGGTAGTAATGCAAAGGTGAAGACATGAACGTGAACTGTGGGGTCACGGCAGGGAGATGACCATAGGAGGTGGGCTGCTAAGGAGGCTCGGTTACCTCAAGGTGAGGTCTGATCTGGGTCACGACGGAACACAGCAGGCAGATGGAGGGGAAGGGGCTCCCTGAAGGGGGAACAGCATGCACCTCAGTGAGCAGGGAGTGACTCACAGAGCTAAGAGAGGAGGTGGAAGATGGGGAGGACTGAGAAGTCTGGACTTCATCTTGTGGGTAAAGACTTTCAGGTACAGAGCGAGTATGAACTCTGGGAGATGCCTCCAGCATTCGTGTGGAAGAGACAGCCTGGAAACCAGAAGAGGAGTGAAACACTACTGTAGTAGCCCAGCCTAGAGCTGATGGTGGCCTCAAGATGGCGGCAGATTAGGAAACAAGCCTGCAGAGCTGAAATCCCCACAGTGGATTCTCTGTGAATGTTCTCGTCTGACCTTGTCCTTTTCCCCAGGTCCCTGGGCTACAGACAAGGAGACTGATGTTGAGAGGGGAAAATTTGGAGGAAGGAGAGGTGGGAGGCAGCCCAAGACAAACTCCTTTTACTTCCCCATCTTGCCTGAGGAGAGCTGTGTGGAGTAACTGGAGGACAGCTGCCAGCCCCCTGGGGATCTCCTCCCCCAGAAAGGTGGACTCCTGCCAGCTGGCACAGCACAGTGCTCTCTCTGGTCCACAGGCCAGGCCTTACCCTCAGTGGGACCCTGTATGGCTAGCAAGTATGTTTTCTGTTAAAGGCAGGAGGAGTCTCAGGTCATGGCAGCCCTCTCCTGCCTAGAGACAGTCGAGAAGCAGCTATCTCAGAGAGATCAAAACCTCCAGCTGGAGAAGGACAGAGAAGATCAACTAGTTTGGTCCCCAGGCTGGGGCCCAGGATCTAAGTCCTTCACTCAGCTCTCCAGACGCCCCCTACGGCACACCACCCCTCCACTGGCTTCCTAGGCCCTGGATATGGAGTTAGGGGGACCTGGTGCTAAGGCACCCAGATATGTGAATCTACAAATCACATCATTTCTGCGAATATGAGTTTCTTGGCTCAGTAAACAAACGTTGTGAATTATATCTCATGTGAACCAACACAGCACAGTTCTGGGGGCTTCCATATCTGCCTCATTCCTTCATTCCTGTACTGTTGGGGAGTTTTTGTCTAGCCTTTCCTTGATTCATTCATCAACCAATATTTTCTGAGCACCAACTATGTGCCAGCTACTTCCAAGGGGCTAGAAAAATAATCACAAGACATAATACCAGCCATCGTGGAAATTTTGTTCTTCTTGGGGTAGCATATTAATGAATCTACCACATGAATACAAATAAAATGATCTCAGCAGTGAGCACCATGAAGAAAGGTCACTCACACCAGGAAGTTAATCAGAAGCCATGCAGGGACAGAGCCCTGGCCAGCCCAGCTTGGCAGGCCCCAGGCTAGGCAGAAGGATGGGGGCCTTACTTTCTTATTAACTAACTTCCCAGAAAATCCAGTTCCTAAAAACAAACATATTCATAATGGGGAACTCAGGAAGGAAAACCTGGTATTCTCCGGTCCAAACCTGAACCAGTTTTCCCCGTAGCCCCTCCCTTCCCCAAATAAATAAAGCCCCTTCCAGACTGCCTCCTCAGCAGCTCTAAACAGCCTACTCAGGAAAACTGTTCCTGCTCCTGCTCTGCCATGAAAGTCTTCACTCTCCTGCTGCTAGCCAGCCTGGCGTCCACCTCTCTGGCCATCCTTCCTGGTGAGTGTGGCCTCCTTCCCATACCCTAGCACCCCCTAGGGGTCAAGGTCCTTTGTTAACCTTGTAATGTGCTATGTAGAGGGGTGGGAGGTGAAGAATGAAAAGTCCACAGCCGAGATGTTTAGCGACAGAGGCAGGGAACAAGGACATTTGACACCAGAAATCCTACAACTGAGAAAGCCTGAGGTTGGGACTAGAGGGACCAAACTAGACCAAATCAGGGCAGCCTCAAGTCAACAGAGGTTCCCACTAGATCACAGCTTCTCCTAATGCTGGGCAACACAATCAGAATCACTATACTTCTCTGGACCACTCTCCCTCCCTCTGCACAGTGAGGGCAAAATCACACACACACACACATTCAATAGCTACTTAGTGGGCACTTCCTCAGGGCAGACACACTTCTAGGGATTCAGGGTGTCCTAACACCTGGGCAGAGACCTCAGTCATTACCTCACCAAGAGCACAGCCTAGGAAAAAGAAAAGAAATAAAATGGATCAAATAAATTTATAGTGTGTTAAAAATGCTGCCAAAGGAGGCCTGCCCATTAGCTCAGTTGTTTAAGTGCCTGCTTAAACAAAGCTGTCAGGCTCAGGATGCTGTGGTTCGATCCCCAGATCCTCAAGCTAAATCAGACCTGCCCTGAAGGAATCCTGAGGCCACCAAAAAAAAAAAAAAAAAAGTTGCCAAAAACAGAGACAGGAGTAAGGGGAGACCATCATGGTTTTTCCTCAGGATAGCCCACCCTGTGTCCTCCAGGTTGTATTTTTATCTCATTTTATCCTCTTTTATTCAGCCCAAACTCATTCTGCAGAGTCAGTTTCTCTCTCATACTTCATTTTACTTTCTCTAATAAACTTTGCTCCCACTAAAAAAAAAAAAAAAAGTAAGGGGCATTGAAACTGCCGGGGCTAAGAAGGATTGGGTGGTCACAAGAAATGATTTACATGTTAACTGTGTTGAGACCTCTGGATACTTTAACCTCTTCTGCTGCAGAGCCAGAAGATAAAATCCCTGTAAAGGCTCAGCATGCAGTTGCTGGTAAGTACCATGAATCCTTTAGAATAAATGAGTGATAGACTGGGTGTGGTGGCACACGCCTGTAATACCAGCATTTGGAGTCAAGAGGATCAAAGGAGTCCAAGACCAGTCTTGGCTACATAGTGAGTTCAAGGCCAACCTGGACTACACAGAGGGAGACTTTGTCTCAAAAAGAACCCCCCAAAAAAGTCAGTGGTACTAAAAGATTGTTTAGTAAATAATGAATTCTCTACCTGGAGAAAAAGCAGAGCAAAGACAGTCCCTCCTTGGCCTTAACCCCTCCTGTTGCACTACCTGGCCAAGATCCAGGAACCAAGAACCACATGACCAGCACTCATGCTGTGTGATCACTGGGGGACCACCTCTCATGCAAGTGCTAGCAGGCAGACTTTCAGCTCACCCTGATGCGGAGCTAGTGAGGGGTTCATTAGTTCCAGGCCCTAGCACCCATAGCCTGCGAACCATGAACATTTCGGAACATTGTGGATGATCTGTGGATTATTTGTAGTTTATCTGTAGGGGTATTTTCATCTCAGGCTGGCTTCCCTTGATTTACCTGGGAGAAATCAGAGAAGGAAAATGCAAATTATACCTAGAATTCAGAGCAAAAGAACTAATATTATTGAGCTTTTTCTTATGAATAAGACAATGGCACAGACATTTGCAAAATTTCTCTTTTAACTGGGAAGGTAGATTTGCTGGGGAGAAGTAGAATTCCCAATAAATGTCTTTGGAGCCCTCACAGATTTAGGGCCTCAATCCTTTTGTGTATGTTAACTAAGCGGTGACCGGTAGAGTGCTGGCTGACTGCTTCTCCCGTGGGATCCTTCTCTCCTCTCATCTCTTCCACCTCTCTGGTCACAGTTACCCAGGTCATCCCTTCCAAGCATCCCAGGAAGGACCATGTCTCCAATGAGGACCTGTCTAAGGAGCCTTTCACCTTCAGCCAAAAGATGATTGCTGAAGAGAATATGGAGATAAAGCCCCCCAAGCCAAAGAGTCAATACCCCATGCAGCCCAGCCCCATCCCCCAAGGAAAGAATCTCAGAGATGCCATGCTTCAGTCAGAAGAGACCACTGAACTCACTCCCAGGGCTGGTAAGAGCCAAGGAAAGACAGAAGCAGCTGGGAAGGAAAAGGGCAGGGGTAAAGCTATTTTGGGTGGAAACGTGGGGTTGGAAGGGGAAAAGATGCTGTAAGAGACCAAGAATTATGTGTAAATAAAGCCTGGCATGGTGGGGGATCACAACTTTAACTCTGGGGGGCTAAGGCAGGTGGATTGCAAATTAGACTGAGAAATTTAGCAAGACTTTGTAAAAATAAACCAAAAATAAATAGAAGGGAAAATTAGAAAAGAATGGGGCTAATAGCTCAGTGCCACGGCCTTGGCTCAATCGTGGGGGGCGGGGGGAACACAGAGAGATGGAGAGGCAGAGAGAAATCATAAATGAAATCAAAGAACCCACTGTTAATGGAGTGCAGGCAGGTGAGGCAGAAACCAACGCTAACTTGACATTTCTCCCCCTATATTCCCCAGCAACCACCTCTGAGGAAAAAAAGGCCAAGCTCAGTCATAAAATCAAGAAGAATCTGGACAAAATTGTGAAACCCACAACAATTCATGGACAAATAATAGAAGAGCTCAATCCCTGATGCCCTAATGACAAGAGTTCCTAAATCCCATGCTGGGCCCTACGAGGTGCCTACCTAACTCTGTTCATGCCAACCACCATCTGTCAGATTTGTGCTTTAAAGAGTTGCAATCCAAACCCAGATCTGTGGAGGCTTTGTGGGACCTAAAAAGGAGGCAAGACACCCCCAGTCTACTGGGACTCTTCTTTATCTCCCTGCTCTTCAGCTCAGTTCCCCATCCAAACACATCCTTTGCGAAAACTTCACCCTCTTCACCTGCCCTCCACCTCCTCAACACGACACAGCGCCTCCTCACCCTCTGCAGCCTGCCTTTCCCCACCCACCAGCCTGCTGCTCCTGCTCACCCAAAACCCGCAGGCAACAACAAGCCCCATGGCAGCTTCTCAGCCCTGAATCTCTGCACTGCCTCTGTAGAGCTGAACACAGTTACAACTTCTAGAATCTTCTCCTCATTGGCTTTCTAGCACTCTGCACTTTGCTGATTGTCCTAGCACATTCTGGGGCTGTGTGTTGGGTACTCCCAGAGTCACATACTGTAGCACCTTGCGTTTGCTCCAAACCTCTTTCTCTATACCTCTTTACCTTCATCTTCAGGGGCTACTCAGGGTATATGGCTTCCACGGCCACTCAACTCACATCCACCAAGTGCTTCCCGCGTGGCAGACCCATTACCTCCTAGATTCCCATCCCCTGCAGCCCTGGGCAGCTTTCTCCACTAAGGCACAGGGGACTCAGTGGATAAAGAAGAAAATGGGAGAATAAAAGTCTCTTTCTGTTTTTCAAATGTAGGGAAGGCTGCCCTTTAAAGGGCAGGTAGGATGATGGAAATAAAGCCATCGCTGATCTCTAGGGTCCTCCCCCCAGGACACATGAGAAAGGTTCTCAGGAGACCAGTAGAGCAACTGTCCTACCCTACCAGGGCCAGCACCGTCCTGACCCAGGAAAATCTAGGCAAACTGTGTGCAGGATTGAAGATGGGTAAAATATCTCCTTTCCTCCTTTGCTTTCTCCTGATATAAAAATAGGCCATTTGTACACTGTCCCTTGCTTTATCCTTCCCCCTCCCCAGGATAGGGATGCACAGCTCCACCAAAAGTATCTCCCAGACTAGATGGAAAATTCTACTAAATCTCTCTCAAGCCATAGCTTGAGACATGAGAGAAAAATTCTTGCCGACATAATAGAGATTATGGAGTTCAGAAAGAAATTGGAGAGAAAGTTTCCTGAGAGAAATGGATTAGAAAATCTGAAATATCTTGGAGATTAGGACACCCTAGAGTACCCATCCTTCTGACCATCACTCAGTTCAGACTAATACAGAAAATGGCACAAGGCTTGGTACCCAATGGGAATCAAAGGACCCACCTTCACCATGGCTACACGGATGTACCAGGAAATTCAAAATAGGGCTTCCTAGTCCAGCTGGATGGGAGACTTCAGGCTCACAGGACCTTCTGCTCCCCATGGTCTCTCTACTCCAGCCCCTCTGACTCACTGAATGAACAGAGACAGAGCTGGAGAAGCCACTGCCAGACTTGAGGTCCCAAGAGTATCTCCTCTCCCAGGGAGAAGGCAGGAAGGAATGGAAAGATAGGCTGGACGGTGCTTCCCCCAGCCTGTTCCTTTGTCAGGAGGGGACATGCAGAAAGGATAGAGCAGCTCTGTTTTCTCTCAGTGCTTTGGGCCTAACGGGTGGGCCTCCAACAGGCGAGGCAGGGGGAGTAGGACAAAGAAGCCCAGCAGGGCATCACAGCTGTCTCCCACTTTGCCGTTTGTGATCATGTATATGACCACACGGCCCACTGGTGCACACTGCTCCCATTATGTGGCAGGCCCCTTTTCCAAATGCTTCACACCTAGTGACTCATTTAACCCTTGCAAAGACAGAAAGCTTTTACCCCATGTGCAGACAAGTAGCTCTCATCCCTTGGCTTCGTGTCCTCCTGAAGCTGTGGGGTGGCCTGGTTACTCTTGGCACTCAAAACTCCTGAATTGGATCTAAAGAGAACCCAATTTCACTCCCAGGGGTGCTCTGGACTACTGCCTCTCTCCAAGCAGCTCAGTCTCATTGCTCACTTGAATAAGCATCTCAGGAAGTTACAAAATATGAGCTCAACACCAGCAAGCAAAACCAGCCCTAAACTTGAGCAGAAACCCCTTCCTAATTTCAAAAGTAACAAGAGAACAAACTTGAAATACGCTTCTTTTTAATTCAAGTGCAAGGAAACGAAAGCTCCGCAGTCTTCTCCCCTGACAGGAGTGTGTCTCCTCTAGTATCTTCAAGATGGACTTAGCGCATCCCCAAGTACTTCGGAGGTCCATCTTTTCTAAAATCAGAGCAACTCAGGACACGTGGAAGACAGCGGCACCAGCTCCACCAAACAAAACTCAGAAATGCAAGTGTGTTCTCAGGTCCCAGATAATTACCCACCCGCATACCTCGTACATGTTTCTGTGTGTGTTCTGAGGAGTTTGGTTTGGTTTTAGTAAGAAGGAAGGGGAGGAAACTTTAGTGCAAGCTCAAGGTGCCACAGACAGATGTCCCCGAGAAGAGATACTCAGCCATCACCGTGGATGTGCAGGAAGGTGTCTCTTCTCTGCTGTTTGCAAGCCTCGTCTCCTCTGTCCACGCTCTTCTTGGGATATTTAAATATTTAAAGTATTGCTCCCATTAGCCCCAGTTTCACTCAGCTGTGCCTACATCTATTGCTTTCCTACATGAACTTCCGCTATGGTGTGTTTCATCTTCTCGGTCACTGTGCGGCACATTTCCCGAGAATATGTCCCAGGGAAATGGACAATACTGTCCCCTAGAGAGATTAACTGTGTGCCTCTGAAACTTCCCCAATTATGCTTAGGCTTCGCCCTAAACCTGCCTTCCCTCGCGCCTTGCAAGTTGACTGTCAGCAGTGGTTCCTGGCTCCCTCTAGCGGCCTCCTCCTGTTTTACATCATTGTAAGCGCTGGACCCGTTCCTTCTTGCCATGGTAATGAATAGTCTGCTCTGTCCAAGTCCCCACCCCCAAGTATTTTGGGCATGGAAAAGTTTCCTCTTTCTTTAATATTATCTCAGGCCTGAGCTGTTTGAACTCAACCTTTCTCCAGAAAAAAAAATCTTACCTTTCTCTAGTTCAATCAATAGAACTGTCTTCTTTGTTCTCTGACTTTTCTCACTGCAAGACCAAGACTTGTATCTTATTTACTTGGACTCATGTTCCCTTGATTCCCTAGGTAAATCTGACTTCTAGAGACAGAAGGTTCCAGGTGCATAACTTGTTCACTTTTTTCCTAACCTTTAGGTCTGTAATACTTCCTCTGAGCTTTTTTCCACTTTTACCCACAAGGCCATTTCCCCTCCACAGGGGCCCTATTCCCTGTTACTTGTCTGGAGTCCAACACACCTCTGCAGTTAGCCTCAGGGTGGGCCTCTAAAATTTGCAGTCTCAGACAAAGCTTAATAAATATACAACCCCGAGCCAACTGGAGACTCTGAGCCTGGGATCAGACCATATCTTAAATCCCTCCATGATCCCTGCTGCGACCCTAAATGAAGTTCAAAACAAAACAGGCAGCTAGCTAGGACCTGGGAAAGTCAACCTAGAGTTGCCAACTAAAGATTAACACATGTAAATGAAACCAACATTCACAGTCTGGTGCTCTAAACCCACATGGAATTTGGGTAATTTTCAGCTTCAGCTGCACTTAGCTACAGGTCAGAGCTGCCTTCAGGCCTTTGCCCATTAGAATCCCTCAGACAGGGTCTCACAAGTTCACTAGCAGGGTCCAGGGAGACCTACCAGCATGCCAGCCCTCTACTCCCTGAGGGCAGCCAATGGGCCAGGTACCCAGAGAACAGGCACAAAAAGGAAACAAAGTGTCTGTTTCAAGAATGGACAGACAAGGGCCTGGGGAGATGGCTCAGTGGAATAAGTGCTTCCCTGGCAAGAGCAAGGGCCTGAGTTCAATCCCCAGTTCCACCTAGAAAGAAAAAAAAAAAAAAAAAGATGAGCAGACAGGTACTGGACAACCTCCTGCATACCACATGGACCTCCAAACCTGGGCTGGAGAATACCCAAAGGGGACTCTTGCCTTCCCCAGCCCCAAGCTACCAAACATGAGAGAAACCAGCAGCTATCTCAGGAGAGAGGCAGGGAAGAAAAGTCCAGTGAAGGCTTGTGCCCTTGGGGGAGAGGGTAGGACAGCAAGAGACAAAACCACTCGGGAACATTCTTGTTAGCACATTAACACCACCTCCTTGTGAAACATGGGCTAATCACTGTTCCGCCTCACCAGCTGTTATAGCATCTCTCCCTGCAGGAGGGCGCAGGAGAGGACAGCCTTTCATCCTGGCTTCATTTGCTAATTACAAATTACCACAGGCTGGCTTAAAACAACACGAATTTATTACCTTGCAGTTCTGTAGTTCATGCGTCCCAGTAGGTCTCTCTGGGTTAAAATCACACAGGTCGACAGGGTCTCATTCCTTCCTGGAGGCTCGCTGGGGGGAAAACATGCTTCCCGGCCCCTTCCAGGTAGGAGAGGGCAAGAGGCTGCCCCCACGTGTCAGCACACAGCCTCTTGCCACCATTTGCAGAGCCAGCAGCCTCCATTCTAGGACTTCTCCCCCTGCCATCAACCTGGTTCTCTCTTCTGCCTCCTTCCAGATTTAAGGAAACTTCTGGATCATCTGGAACAGTGCTGATAACCTAGGCCACACACAGTTTCTCTTTTAAGAACAGTGTGTTAACGTATAAGTTGTTTTTTTTCTAAACTAAGACCTCCCTATTTGGGTTTAACAGCAGTGTTGCCACTTTGGAATAAAACGTAGGCTCTGGGCCACAGATTGGACACTTGTCTCTAAATGGTGTGCCATCGATGATCAAGGATATTCTGCCGATTTTCAGGCCAGCTGATTAGCAACCTCAATTGCTTCTGCAACCTTAATTCCCACCACTAGGTAAGCTAACATGCCTACAAGTTCTGGTGATTCGATGCAAACATTTACGATGGGGAGCCATTAAGTATTCTGCTCCTGTACATCTCCTGCTCCTGTGGGATTGTTGCCACCTTAACCCAGCGGAATCAGCTGCCCCAAACCCTCAAACCAGGCGCGTGCT